ACTGCAAAGAACAAGATTCTCTGGTCTGACAAAACCAAGATTGAACTGTTTAGCCTAAATTCTAAATGTTATGCCTGGAGGAAACCAGGCACCGCTCATCACCTGTACAATACCATCCCAACAGTGAAGCATGGCGGTGACAGCATCATGCTTTGGGGGTGTTTTTCAGCAGCAGGGACTGGGAGACTGGTCAGGGTTGAGAGAAAACTGAATGGAGCAAAGTACAGTGATATCCTCAATGAAAACCTGTTCCACAGTGCTCAGGACCTCAGACTGAGGCGAAGGTTCACTTTCCAACATGACAACGATCCTAAGGACACAGCCAAGACAATACAGGAGTAGGTTAGGAACAACACTGTAACTGTCCTAGAGTGACCCAGCCAGAGCCTAGATTTGAACCCTACTGAACATCTCTGGGGGAACCTGCAAATGGTTGTTCACCATGGTCGCCATCCAACCTGACTGAATTTGAGAGGATTTGCAAGGAAGAATGGCAGAACATTCCTCAGTCCTGGTGTGTAAAGCTTATTGCATCATACCCAAAAAGACTCGAGGCTGTATTGCTGCCAAAGGTGCTTCAACAAAGTACTGAGTGAATATTTATGTCAATTTGATATTTCAGTTTTTTTTTTCTTTTTAAATAAATTTACAGACATTTCTAAAATTCTGTTTTCACTTTATTATGGGTATTGAGTATAGATTAATGAGAAAAAATGAATTTCAATAACTGCAGAAACAAGCTGAAGCATAACAAAATTGACAAAAGTGAAGGGGGTCTGAAGACAGATTAAGTGTAATATAGTATAATTAAAACTCAAATGGTGCATAATTAAAACAGCATTAAATTTAAAATGGCAGTGTACACACACACATTATTTTGGCATCAAGGCATCCCACATTGCTTCTGTCTGTTGCTTCCTTTCTAAACTCCCAGAATATTCAAGACAATTTGCATTCCACATTCCAATGCCCCTCAGGCCATGTTTCTTCACATAGGCAGCTTTCTGAGAAATACTCCTGGGATCATCAAACCATACTTGATGAAAAACATCACCTGAATCCTGTAAGATAGGAGAATGTAACAGCAAAAATATTAACAAATATGTTAACTTATGTTCTTTTCACCTCGGCCCTTCAGCTCACTAGCCAACTTTCTGCAAATGAAATATGAAAATCAATAATCGCTAAACATATTCCAAATTATTGGATGAGATCACCCAGTGAGTTTAATGAAGCTGAATAATTTGGATTCCGTCCCCAACTCCAGGAAAGATTACTCATATCATCTCCATGTTTTCCCTTCCCTTCCTGCTCCTCCCCTTACCCTTACTCTTTCTTTCCTTTATTGTAAGCCGTTTAATTTCTACACATGTTGCTGCTGGATTTGATCTGAAGCTTCCTCGTGACTTTGTTATATTGGTCCTAATAAAAGTAAAGCAGTACTTTTATTTGGGGAATTCCCTCCCAAACAATGAATCAACATAGCTATGTTACAACTTTAGGGAAAAGATATAAAGGCGTCATACTCAAATCAGTAACTACAGGAGAAATTTTGTTTAATGAGAATAGATAATAGATAATTGAAACAGGACAGACAAAAAATATAAATACAATGATTTGAATTGAGATAATTAAAATAAAATTGAGAAAATTAAAAGAGGGGAGAAGCTATGCAGAAAATGTAAAATAGTAATAAGATATGGAATAGAATATAAAAATGAGCATGAACCTGAATTTGTGTCTGTATGAAGAAATGTAACCCGGGATTACGCTACTTTCAAAAAAGATGTTTTATTTGTATTTTTTTTCTCTTTGTGAAAACTCAAATAAAATTTACAAAAAAAAACAACCCATATCTATGTTATCTGTTTGATGTAATAAACTAATTAAATAATGTTCCAAATAAATAAACAACTTACCTTATATTCCAAATATGGTGCTTTCTGCTCCTCATCCCACAGAATCCCAGAAAGAGAACTATTCACTTGAGACATTATTGTTTTATATGGAACCTGACGTCCTGCAGCATCACTACATGGAGCTCCCCGGAAAGCGATTTTTTCAATGATGCACTCATGAGTCTGAAAAAGTACAATTTTTGTTATGAATCTATATCAAGGGTCTTCAAACTTGGCAAGTTTAAGACTTGCGGATGTCAACTCCCAGAATGCCTGAGCTAACATGACTGGTGGAGGATGTCAGACTTCCAGCAATCCTTCCTTTGAAACATTAACTCCAAGACTGAAATATTCTCAAAGTGATTTATTCAAAACAAAAAAAAGACTGGTATCACCCAGTGGAATTTCAGTACTGGAATCCTACCAGCTCATCCCACAAAATTCCACCTACCTCCACCCCCTTTTTCACACTTCATCAATCACATGAGCCAATGATCTGCATTCTCAATTCTTTGCTACGCCACTCTCTGTGACCTTGAACTAATAACTCATAATAATTTTTTCCCCTAAGAACTATTCAGTACATCACTTCCTCCCTCCAGAACTCTATGGCAACAATGAATCCCAGAGTTGACAGGAATTCTGGGAGGTGAAGTCCATAAGTCTTAAAGCTGTCAAGTTTGAAGACCCCTGATCTATATTAACATTTTAAGAAGGATTATTACTCAAGTAAAGTAAACCCCAGAGTTAATGAAGAATAAATAAGTCATCCGTTTTACTCTTACCTTTGATAAATTTTGACAAGGATAATCATATCCATACCATGGAACTCCCATCACCAACTTCTTTTGGTTAATGCCCATGAAAGTGTAATTGTCATACCCTAATTTAATATAAAATTCAGAATTTATCCACATGCTTTTTTGTTCTTATATATACTTCCATACCTATAGTTATATCTGCATCATCAAGCAATCAAAGGCTACTGACGTGAACATTCAAGACACAAGTAAACCTTCAGATCTCTCAGATGTTGTCCTCTCTTTCTAGATGAACATCTTTGTTTAGTTTTTACTATTTATTTTGCTTTCATGAAAATGTTGAGAATTAATAGCACATAGCCTTAGAATCTGGAAAAGGTACATGGCCAAGATTATTAACCAAATTAACTAAAGTCAATGTTGTCTTTTGCAAGAGAAGCCAAGTAAGCTCTTTCATCCAATCTATACCAGATATCTCCTATGTTAAATTGCCCTCAGTGTAATTCTCAGCAAATATTTTGAAGATTCCAATAAAGGAGAATATCCATAACTCTAACTACAAATATTACAATTTATTATGATATTTAGCTTTTACCTTATTTACTCTCAAAAGCTTTTTTTTCTTTCAAAAAATTGTATGTTTAGATCCCTTCAGGTATAGTAATGACACTTAAATCTCTAAAGACTACAGATACAATTATTATTTTTTAAAAATAGCTGCAATTATTTATTAATTGAATACACAGCCCAGACTGGTTAATTTCTGGATTTTATAAACTATCTAGTGATTATTTTTACCACAGAGCAGAATAAAATGCTTTAAATAAACATACTGTACATTCTTCAAATTTGAAATACTGTATATATTGTAGGGTTTTTTCAAAAAGATTTCCAACGTTTTCCCTTGTTTTATAGTATACCTGCTAATGTTTGGTTATATGGAGCATTGGCTCTTGCTATGCAGCGTGACCACACTTGACTCTGCTCATCATAAGACATCACAAACACAAAATCACAGGAGTCAGCAATCCCAGTATAATTGTAACATCTCCTATCTATACATTCAGGAGACCAAGGTACATCAAAAGTTACCTGTGTATGAAAGAAACACACCCATCATTTTGCATTCATCCACTTTTTATGGATTAAGTAACTGTTGATCCTGCACTAGCAATATAAATCATAGGTCTGCGCAGGAACCATAAAATTACTAACATGAATATTAAAGTGCAGTAGAACAGGCTCAAACGCTATATAGTATTGAAACCAAGGTATTTCACTGGCATCATACTATAACGTTAACAAATGGACAATTTT